GAATCATATGAAAGACGCATTAAAGAATTGGAACAAAGACTGTCATCAGATCAGTATTTGCAGGGGCAAAATCTCTCGAATAATGCTGTGTCTGATTTTTCAGTTTTGGCTGTAAAGAGTGATGGTTGTGAGCCCCAAATCTTAAGTGGTCGAGAAGCCCCTGCACCTTGTATATCGACTACAGAGCCAATGGATGAGGTTTCTTGCATCTCTAATTCACTGGATGTTAAGCTGGGGTTATTTGCTGAACAGCCTGGTAGAGATCGCGAAGCAGTCGATGAAAATATGATGGATTCCCGTGGTGATCAGAATCCTCATTTGGATTCCTCAATGATGGAGCCTAATCGTGAAGAACTTCAAGACAATGATAAATATGTTGGGGATAAAGTAGTAGGACAGATGGGAATATCTCTGACGAACAGTTCCACAGCTGAGAGCATGCCTCAATCTCTGAGTGTCTTACCTTGTGAAACAGTAGAAGATCCCAATTTGGAATTGAATCTTCAGAATGGCCTTCTGCTGGAGTTGCAAAATGCACTAGCGGACAAGACCAATCTGTTGAGTGAAACTGAAACCAAACTTAAAGATGCTATGGAGGAGGTTGTCGTATTGAAGAGAGAGTTGGAAGCTAGTAGGAAGCTGCTTGATGAATCTCAGGTACTAATCTTATTGTTCCTTTTTTTGTTTTTTAAGAGGACTGCGCAAAGATATCCTTCCATTTCTTCTGGGCGATTTTTAGAGTGGTCTATTGCTCTTTTTTGGAAGAAGACCTAGGAGACTGCTACTTAAGCTTTAGAAGACTTGTTGGGCGGCTCTGGTTCTTTATTTTTATTATTATTATTATTTTGGAGAGACCAGTTCGAGATAACGACTCGGGAGATCAAATTGCTGACTCTCAGACGTTCTTTACAAAAACGATATTTGGGAAGTGTACTTGACAGGGAAGGATGGAAGAGAGATGATAAAAGACGAGGGAAGTTAAGATACCTCGGGGATTTTCTTGGTCACTGAAATGCTGGGAGGGTTCCTGCACTGTCTTGGATGAATTTTTGCAATTGTTAGGTAGAGCTCCCTAGTATGTGAAGTCGTTCTTATGGGGTCTTCAGCTCTTAAGAGTCTGAATAGAACAGTTAAATTACAAAAGAAAAGTTGGGGAAGTCCTTTAGCACCCTTGGATTGGCTCACACGTGTATGATGTCATGTCCGTGTTCGTGCTTCTTTAGATCCTTACAAATAGAATCCAATTTATGTTATGTAGCTGTGGCTCTTGTGTATCCTTGCATCTTTCATTTCCGTTAACTTTCTCGCTATCTCAATCTCCTTTGAACTACCATGGTTTCTGTTCTTTTTAAGAGGAGAAACAGATTTCCTTGATAAATGAAGTAAAGGGAGCTTAAAGAGCTCCCATCATACATTAGTTTTTTGTTGACTGTCAGTCTTCCATTTCTTTGAGTTGTGAGGTGCACTGTGTCACAATCGTACTCTTTCGGCGGCGGGACAATGATTGTGTGACACTTGCTCTAATCCAGCGAACAAGTCAGCTATGAGAAATTCGGATTTTGCAAACAATGTCGGCTTATGCTTGAGCCTTGAATCATGTTTGCGAGAAATGTTTTAGAAAACGTGAGCGAGGAAATACATTTGAAAACAATTTGAAAGAATTGAAGAAAACAACGTTATATGGCTTAAATAGCATCTAACTCAGAGTAGGAAGAATTGACGACTAGTCGCATCCCTCTATAGTATATTTTGGGACTTTTTAGCCTTGGCCGGTGTCGACATGATTTTGGTGACTAGTCATACACCCCCATATTAACACAACATGAAATAACAAGTGTTTATTTAAGATGAAAGCATGTAAAAAGGGTTTGGAACGAGCATGTGGCCATGGACAACACGTTCTGGACAAGCATGACCAAGACATCCGACATGTAGTCACAGACAATATGCCTCAGACAATTACAACATTAAAAATATGCCTGTGATTTGTTATAGACTAGGTTTTATATTTTATGCTTTAGTTTTCATTGTCATGATCAATAACTTTTTTCCTCGTCAATGCATAATAAATTATTGTTTATCCCTCCTTTCAGATGAATTGTGCCCACTTGGAGAATTGTCTGCATGTAGCAAGGGAGGAAGGTCAAACTCATCTTTACGCAGCTACCCGTAGGGCTTCAGAGTATAGTGCACTTCGTACATCGGCTGTGAAAATGCGGGGTCATCTTGAAAGACTAAAAACCTCTGTTTTTTCTCCCAGTGGAGTGTCTGCTTTTGCTCATTCATTGCGCAGTTTAGCGCAATCTTTAGCCAAGTAAGTTACTTTCGTTTTTTGCTTAGTTGCTGCTTTTTCCTAACCATTCCCCTTCCACATTAAAAAGAGGCTCAAATGTACCTTGTTTCTTGTCTTGTATTTTGTTGCACTTTTTTTCTGCAAATGAATGCATTCCTCTGCTGTTAAGTGGAATAACTATGATACGGATCTTTGAGTTTCATTTCCTGATATTTGAAAAAGTTAAAGACTTTTCTAGACATTATATAAGATTTCTTTTGTGAGATCCCACGTCAGCTAGAGAGGGAAACGAAACATTTTTTATAGGGGTGTCGAAACTTCTTCCTAGCACACGCTCTTTAAAAACCTTGAGAGGGAGCCCATTAGGGAAAATCTAAAGAGGACAATATCTGCTCTTGGAATGTTACAAATGGTATCAGAGCCAAACACCGGACAATATGCCAGCAAGGAGGTTAAGCCCTAAAGGGGGCTGGACAAGGGCGTTGTGCCAGTAAGGATGCTGGGCCTCGAAAGGGGGCGGATTGGGGGTCCCATATCGATTAGAGAAGAAAACGAGTGCTAGCGAGGACACTGGGCCCCGAAAGAGGTGGATTGTGAGATCTCACATCGGCTAGAGAGGGGAACAAAGCATTCTGTATAAGGGTGTGGAAACCTCTCCCTAGAATACATGTTTTAAAAACCTCGAGGGGAAGCCTGAAAGGGAAGGCCCAAAGATGACAATATCGGCTAGTGATGGGTTTGGCTTTTTATACCTTTTTATTTTCCATCTAGTTTTAATTCTGGATTCTAGAGATTTTCTTGTGCAAGTATTCATTTTATGAAATGTTTTGTCTCTTTTTTATTAATGAAACCAACCTAGAATTTTATTAGTTCTGGCAGTGACAATGAAAATGATGGTACAAATGAATTCCGCCAATGTATCTGGGCTATAGCGGAGAGAGTTGGAATTTTGGTCGAACAGCACGATAAATACGCGAAACTCGAAGCTTCCCACGAACAACTTGTCAAAGAACTCGAAGAAACGAAAGAACTTGTTAAAACTTTGTATGCAAAGCATCAACTCGAGAAGCAGGTAAACTTCCTTTGTGAGCTCCCCTTATACGATCCACTGACCTACACTATTCAAGTATGTCTTTAGTTTACGTTCGGGTTCCGATTTTATTTGATCTCGAGGGATTTACCGAATTGCTTCGTCATACAGGCAAACAAGGAGAAGATTTCTTTCGGTCGAATGGAAGTCCACGAGATTGCTGCGTTTGTTCGCAATGCAGCCGGGCATTATGAGGCGATCAATCGGAATTGCACCAACTACTACCTGTCCGCTGAATCAGTGGCTTTATTTGCAGACAATCCTCTAACCAGATCTAACTACATTGTTGGGCAGATTGTCCACATTGAACGTCAGACAGCGAAACCGTCACCACCTTCTCCTCAGCTCGATCAAGGTAGGGTGGATCAAACAGATCGTGTGAACTCCGACATGGGGACCGATGGGTTGACCTTGAATTCAGGTTTATCTTCGAACCCGTACAGGTTCCCAGTCGGATGTGAATATTTTATAGTGACCATAGCGATGTTACCGGATACTGCTATTCATTCATCAGCTTCCTGATCCCTGAAAACAACAGACTGACATGATGGAAGATCCCAAGTGTACATATGAATAACATGGAAGAACAATTGTGTTGGGAGGTGAAGTTTTTAATTTCCTTTTCTTTTTTTTTTTTGTACAAATGATGATGGTGGAATGAGTTTTTAACCCCTCACTTTTTACCCATCTCTCTGTAAATATTTAACAGTTCAGTGTGGAAACTGTGAATATTATTATTACCACTTAGTCTTTAGTTTGACTTTACTCCAGACTTCTACATAGTTTTTCATATAAGAACTTCATGAACTTTATTAGTTCAAGTTTCTCATTCATTCCTTCACAAAATTCTTATTTTCTCACTTGGATTTTGCAGGGTTTTCTTTTTGGATTATTATTTTATTATATATATATATATATATAGATATATATATTATAATATATATGTGTGTGTATATATATATATAGTGTTTGGTAACACTGATTATAAAATAATTTAAGGAGAATTATGTTTTTAATGTTGGCTGATTTTTTCCTTCGATGACTATTTTAAAAGTTTTAACAATTTTAAATTAAATTTAGCTAATAATTGAGGTGATAGACATGGAAGCAAAAAAGTTCGTAGAGGATTAGAAATGAGATAATTTACATTTTAAGTGTTCGAGAATTCAAATTTATGATAAACTCTTTAGGAGTCCTAAAATGGGTAACAAATTGTGCCTCGACTAGGTGACATCTGATTCAACCTAATAGTAAGCAATTCGATCCAACCTAATAATAAGCAATCTGCCAAAAGATCGATCCAACCTAATAGTAAGCAATCTGCCAAAAACAACCAATGAGCCAGTGGTCATGCAATTTGTCAAAATCCGATCCAATCTAGTAATAAGCAATCTGCCAAAAACAACCAATGAGCCAACGGGCAATTTGTCAAAATTCGATCCAATCTAATAATAAGCAATCTGCCAAAAGCAATCAATGAGTCAACGGTCACGGTTTAAGTTCCGAATTTTAAAGATAAAAAAAAAAAAATAATAATAATATATGGTGTTCTCTCCCACTTATAAAAGGCAAGAAATTAAGGAACATTTTGGGGAAGCATAAGAAGGAAAAATGTGTGGCTAAATTTGTTTCAAATTGTATATAAACTCTAGAATAGAGTGATTCACCAAAGGGGTAATTTCCATTTACAGCTTATGTAAGGTGGGCGGCTCTCTCATAACATAACATTACAGGGGAAAGAATTAAAACATCTGTGCTGCAGATACACATAAAATGCCTAAATACATGAATTACAACACATACATACAGGATTCTTCATCAATACATATTTCAGAATCCCATGAGGATTTTCTCGTCTACCCGTACCCAATTTCCGAAACAATGTACACAAACATTTCACAGCCAGACTCACCTTTCACCGTCTTCTGAGATGTTGAACAAAAAATTCGGGATAGAAGTGATTCGAGGAAGATGCAACATCAATTCGCTGAACGAATCCTTCCTAGACATACTGATTGTCTGCTTAGTATCTGAGTTATCTTTTACGTCGTCAGTAAAAGCAGCTTCGACATCGCCCCTCAATACGTTACCGACTTTATTGCTCTTCCTATCATCGGGTCCTTCGCCACGACTTTCTTCATTGAACAGTGAATTCTGAGTTGTGGTATTGGTTGGATCTTTCTGCAAGAGACAACAGAGAGAATTGACTCTTTTCATGAGAGATTTCTCATCAGAAGTTGTAGATTGGTTGTCGTTCAGCAGAGACTGTGCAATATCTTCTAGTATGTCTTGGTATCCCAGTCCTTGATTGGCAAATGATGGATTCGCCCCGGTCATCTGCTCTGTAATACACTGTCCAATGTGATTCACGAGATCACTCATCGACATGGACGGGTGGAGCCCGGGAACTTTCGTTTGCTCCCAATTTTTTGGGCTTCTAGAGCTACCAACTTCAAAATTTGCACTTGCCTCGGCTGCACAAGATTCCATCTTTTATCAATAACGAAGGAACAGCACAAGTTATTTTGGATACAAGCAAACATTTGACTAATTTCTGACAAAAGCCTAGAAAAAGGTACGACTGTAAATTCCAGAAACAAATTACAGATCACATCAATGACAAGGAATATTGATCGTTCAATTCGTGATGATCACACCATGTGAGTTTTTTGGACTCACGGGACATTTCGCACGATTTTGCACCAAGAATTCATGAACTAAAACTAAAGTCTAAAAGACATGCTTCTTTTTGTCCCTTCAATTAAATAGAATGAATAACAAAAGAAGATTTATAAATTGTCACCTGAACAAGGTGATGGAGCTTCTTGAGAACGATGTTCTACTGCTGAACAAGTAGAGTCTTGTTGTTCTATTTTCAAGGATGATTGCTGAGGAGATGGCAAGGCACCATCTGTCGCAATCGATCTTTTAATATTTTCTGCAGGGTGTTCTGGATCCTCAAAAACAGAAACCCTTCGTTCGAAATATGGTAAATCCAAAACTATCTCTGGTTGTCGGCTTAAGAAGTTAAGGCGCATGTCACACTGGATTAGCTTTTCAAAATGTTTGTTCAACAATCCTTGAGGACACTGCAGAAAATGTTGCCTAACAATCACAAAGTTAGATGACCACTATAATCATTACCTAAGTCCAAAGAGTGAGACACGAAGAGTTGACCTTACGCAGCATGAGAAAAATAAACAATTTTCGTTTATAAAAAAAATTAAAAAAATATTTCGTACAAGTTCTTATCATGAATACTTTGTAGCTATCCAAGTATTGTGTTCAGGAATGTTTATGCATCTACTATGTTCAAGAACATGCAAGGAATATTATAATTTTCTCATCCAAGAAAAAAAAATCCTCATAGAAACCATTTCATCTAGAAGGTTGTCTCTCGAATCCGCATATTCTTCACTGGATCTACATTTCATTTCTTCTCAAGAGATGGAAACTTGCCAGCAAAAAGAAAGTTCCATGGTCAAAGAAAGAGCTCATACACCCAAGACATGAAATTCGATTCAAACATATAGAGAAGAAAGGATAATGAAATGATGCTATAATCTAATTCACCCATAGGGCATCTCAGACAGAAATAATATAATCAAAACAGAACCTCCTTTACTCAAAAAATTAAGAACAAAAGAAAAGAAGAACATCTATAGTTGTAAATATAGAAAACCTTTTACCGCTGACTTTGATTGGGAGCAAAATTTCTATGTAAAGCACAAAAAGTTAAGTGATAGAGCATATAATTGGATACTCTTCACAGACGGTAAAGTCGCAAGCATTACCTGTGTAAAGTAGCCTGACCATCGGTAAAGTCAGCAGTTGCCTGCCATAATGTGTGTTTTCTTGGTTGAGGGTTCGTCTCCCGGAAGAAAAGGGGCTGCCTAGACAACTACAGAAACAACAACAAAAATAAGCCATCAAAATACAAGAAGTTCTCCACATACATACACACATACTCCCATGGCTCATGCATTAAGAATCGAGAAACGCACAAATCAGGCATTAGGCAAGAATACGAAGCGTACCACCACGTTCAGACTACCAGGTCCATTATCAGGGCAGTTGGCCTTTAAGGCCATAATATCAGACCACTGGATTTCTATTTTACTCTTCAACCCACCTTCAAGAATTTCCCAGACAAGCTTATGCTTAGCAAAATAACATTTTGCCACCAAATCACCTTCATATCTTGATTGATACTGTCATTGAATAAGACCTTAATTACTTCACATCCACAACATTTTCCAGTTATTAGAAGCACAGGGGAGGTCAATCGATTTTACCTCCCAACCACCAATTCTTAGGAGCGATGCAGTAAAGTTCGACGCTTTAAGCTTGTCGATAGAGCCTGGAATGGCAGTGCCTATATTATCCTTTTTTATGGAAGAGTTGAAGCTTTCACATTCGGTTACTTGGCTCGAAGCAGCAGTCGACTGAGAAAGCTTCATTTGAATTAGATCCAACAGGGAAGGGCTCTTCCTCAACCGCAAACCAAGAAGACTAGGCTCATCAAGCGGATTGTATTGTGAAGGCACTACGGGAAAATCATCGGAACAACTACTTTCATGCTTCTCGTTTGACAAGATCATGCAAAAACAACCAACAAAAAGGCCAAAATCATTTCAACTGATGAGAAAATCACAACACCATTTCATCTCGCTCCTCAGGGGAAAAAACACAGAAAATAAGCAGAAATTACGCTTGGATTCTCATATATCACACAACCATGAATACCAAATAAGCATACGGAAGAAGATCAATCTCCATTACGAAAAACGGAAGAAATAAAATCAGGTTATTAAATAGTCAAATTCGAAGTTGAAAAGCATAACATTCATCTTCTCAAAATAGTTCCAAGGATTAAAAAAAAAAAAAAAAATCCCTTCCCCGTCATTTCTTCGCAACGAAGCAAAAGAAAAACCGATTCCACATACCGGAGAAAACGTTGTCGTCGTTTTGGATCGCTTGGAGAACGGAGCATGCTCCTCTTCAAGAGAGTCCTCGATCTCCAGCTTCACCGGCGCCTTGTCCCGAAGCGACGCCATATCCGGCTCCAGAGAGAGATTCCCTGATTTCATCAACTGGACCATCAAATTCTTCCTCTTGATCCGCCCCCTTTTCAGATAGAGAAAATTGAAATCAACGGCGACAAAATCCAAACAGGGCCTCAAAATTAATACAAGCACAAAACCCTAGAACAACGATCTTCGATCATAACGGAGAATCTGAAAGCTCCACAATTTTTTTGGTTTTTAAATTTAATTATTAAAAATTAAAAAAGGAGAGAGAGAGAGAGATAAATATAGAGCGATTTGGGAAAAATCTTAACGCCGTTCAGGTCGGGTTGACGGAGTCTAATTTGACGGCGTCATTCACGTGCGAAGGCACGTGCGTTGTATTATAAATGGATAATTTGTCTGTCATATTTATACATTTCTTCTGTTTTCCATTTTATTTAAATTGCCAGAAAATATGAATATTCCCAATAATAATAATAATAATAATAATAATAATAATAATCATAGGAATATTTTAATTTTTTTTTCCTTCAATTTTTATTAAGAGATATTTTTCATGAAATTAATGTAACGCTCGTAAATGAATCGTGTTAGAGTTTAGAGATAGGGATAGGAGAAGTTTTCCTTGTCACCATTCTTCTCTGTCCCTACCGCGTATTTCAGTCTTCATTCCTAAATTTTTAATTTATTTTTCGTAGGGCCCATAAAGAATTTGTAGAGTCGTAGATATTTTTTTTCTTTTTTATATATTATTTTTAAAAATATTTATTTTGAAGAATTATTAAATGAATAATAATTTATATTTTCTAATATAGTTTATATGAATCCAAAAAAAAATTATAAACAAAAATGTAATATATCTAATAAATTTTAATATTAAAAGAAAGCACTTTTTTGTCTTTACAGAATCAAATAATTAATAAATAATATAATTCTCATTGGGGAAAAAGGAACGGAAAATGAAAAAAAAAAAAAAAGAGAAATGAAGTTACTATAATGCCCTTATATTCAATGTAGGGGTAACTATGTCATTTAGAAATGTGGGAGTGCAAGTGTGAGCTGGCAGACAGATTCGGATTAATGGATATGTGGGACCCACAGTCCCCAATTAAGAGACTGCCAGGTGGACCTCTTCAACACGTTTCCTTTGGGAGCAATCAGATGCAGACGTCATGTGATTTCATAACGTGGGACCTCACCGCTGATTGGTCCACATAAGCACCAATCAACAATCATTAACCCAAGTGACCAATAAGAGAGTTTGGATTTGTCTCTTTTTGTTTGGATGGATTCAAGTACTCTAGGGTAGATCTTAGGTTATGATTACATTTTAATTATGGGACGTCGAGATTACAAACCCGTGACACTCGAGTAAAAGAAATGTATACAAATGAACAGACACCGGAGTGAGAAGTAATTGCTACATATATTAATAAGATACGCATTTCTTTTCAACGACCTAACTATAAGAATGTAACAGTCCAAGCACACCACTAGAAAATGTTATATGCTTTGGTCTGTTACGTACCGCTATCAACCTCCCAGTTTTAAAACACGTCTATTTCCACACCCTTACAAGTAATGTTTCGTTCCCCTCTCTAACCGATGTGGGATTTCACAGATAACTTCAAAATTAAGCGTTTTGCTCAGAAGAATTTCTTGATGACTATACTATTTTTCTCGTATAATACTCATTTATAAAAATTGAAGGACTAAAATATAAATATTAAAAGTTATAGAACGAAAGTAGAACAAATTTGTGGCGGTAAGGACGAAATGGACAATTTAAAAGGTTCGGGATAAAAGTAGGCGTCGATTTTATTATTAATTTTTTCTATTAAGAGTAAGATTAACTTTGTAGCTTTGACGGTTATTCCTTAGAATTATTCTCTTTAATCCCATTCAAGGTAAGAATACATTCTTTTATCATTTTTTTTTACTAATTTATTTATAATTTAATTTCAAATAGAAAATATAAAAAAACTAGGGTTTCACACTGAGGAATGAATGTTCATCAAGAAAGAGACTCGAGGGGATGACAACGACGAAGTTGATAATGAGGACAATGAAGACGACGATGATAATGATGATAAATAATAATAATAATAATAATAATAATACAATAATTTTATTAATTTAGTCTAGATAAAAATAATTACAAGAATGGAAATAAATGTCCGATTAAATTATGTAAATTTAATGTTCGAGTATGAAAATAGTAATTGCAATAATTTTATAATATATCTTTTTTTTTTTTTAATGTGAAGGCAATTATCTTCGATGTCCATTTTTGTAATTAAAAAAACGACCTTTAACTCTCTAAACCTTAGGGACTAAGTTCATTACTATATGTAAGTTTACGTCATTTGAAGCGGAAAAACGAAAACATACACGTGATAAACTCATACATTTTCATAGAAAGGCAATCGAGATTTACGCGAATATTTAATGCATTATGGTGTGAATTGAATGAAGAAATTTTGACTATTTTTCGAAGAAATTGTAACATATCTGTTTTTATTTTTCTTGTTTTTACACTTTAAATGACGTAAGCATGCATATAGTAACGAAGCTCGATCACTTATATACAGAAAATATGCAGAAAAAGAAGGGTTAATTGGATCTAAGAGGTCAAAATTTGGGAGAATATTAAAAAAGAAAACAAAAAAAAAAAAGATGATATTTGTCTTGTTTGAAGATTTTGAATGAGAGTATCAAAAAAGTTAAAAAAAAGTAAAACAACCATCACAAGTAATCATCCAGCAATCTTAGTAGAGGAACAATCACCCTAAGAAGCTACCCGTACAAGCCTACGAATCTTCAGCTCTATCTTATGATAGGTCTAGGATAGAGACGTCCACGAGGTAGAACGGGATAGAAGCTTTCTTTGTTTCCACCCCCGTCATTGCCTATTTTATTTTATATTGCTGTAAAATTGTAAAATTCTCTATTGATCAATACGGAGATTCTTCATAAGGAATTTGCAAGGATCGAGTTCTTCGCGAATAATTTTTTTTTCTATTTATTATTTTTTTTAAAAAATAGTTATTTTAAAGTTTTTATTTTTAAACATAATTTTATTAAAAAAATTGTAAAAAATTCATAATAAATCGATATATTTTATAAGCAAATATATATATATATATATATATATATATATATATATATATATATATATTCTACCAACATAATTTTGGAAAAAAAATTTAATATTACATCGAAGCTTTTAACTATTAAAAAAAGCTAGAACATAGTTTTAGATTAAATATTATAATTAGAGACTAAAAATTTGACTAATTTATATTTTACATATATATATATATATTAGTACGTGTTGAAAATATATTTACATTAAGTGGGGAATTGGGATAGGACATAGACAAGGAATAAAATCCTGTCTTTGGCCCCATTTGGGAGAGGACAGAGACAGGGAATAAAATCTTGTCCTTGGGAAAAAATGTTCTCCACTCTCTCTCCCATTTTCTGTCTAAACAGGGATCTCGGGATCTCTCCCCATTTGGGGCAGGTCCCCACGGGGCTAGGAACGTGGAGATCTCTAGTCCTGCATGACAAATAGGAGTTGGTTTTGATTAGTTCTAACCCATGCCAAAATTCCTTGGAACAATCTTAAATTTTTCTAAAGATGAAGCAAATGATAGAATAATATCATTATGTTCCTGTATCAAAAGCTCCCATGTGAGTTGGTTTCAAGAGATTGTAAAACCATTTTTAAAAGAACTTTCAGGCCATAGGCGGGTGGCCTAGATGATAAGCTGCTCAACTACACTACAATAAGGTGCCAAAAGTTTATCTCCAAGGTAAGCAATTCTTATTCTTCTGAAAGGAATGAGCAGTGAAGATGCTAGTTTCTTACACAAGTTTTTTCTTGCAATAATTTAAGTGTATGTTGGAGAAGATTGCTCCTTTCTTGCTATATATGTGATATATTTTGAACTCTTCTGTTCATACTCATTTTTTGCTGGTTTTGGAGGTGGAACTTCCTTCCTTTTGAGGCCTCCAAGCTATCCTTTCAGGTATGACTTTCAATTTCGGGTTTCTTTCTTCTTTCCTAGTGTTGAAATAGAGCCATGAGGATAGAGAACATAAGATTTTTTCAGCTTCTTATAAAGTTTTCTCTCTTTTATGGAGGGAGAGAGCAGGCAGGGGATGCAGGAAGGCAGGAGTTTTCAAGTATTCTTCACTTGTTTGTATTAGGGGATTAAGAAGAGACAGAAGGCACAATGTTTTCCGACTTGTTTTTACGTATTTTACCGGGGCATATCAGTTTCATATGGAATAACTGGGGCATTGAGCTGCTCGTATTTGCGAACTTCGTGTTCCAAGTGATCTTAACTTACAATGGAAGTCGAAGAAGACACACACCAGGATATAAGCTCAGTTTAACTGTTTGGTTTTCCTACTTACTTGCAGCTAAAATTGCAACTGTTGTTCTAGGTAAGCTCACGACGATCGACATAGGCCATGAACGGCGCAACACACACACCCAAGTTCAGGCGTTGTTGGCGCCATTGATGTTCATGCAAATAGGAAATCCAGATACAATCACAGCCTACTCAATAGAAGACAACCAACTAGGAGTGAGGCAAGTTTTCAGCATGGGGGTCCAAGTGACAATTATGTTTTACATTCTTGTAAGGTCATGGACAGATTCCAAAACATCGTTTCTTTACTTGCCAATGTCCTTGGCTGGGATAATCAAGTATGGTGAGACTTCATGGGCTCTAAAATCAGCTCTAAGTGGCAACTTGGGCTTCACAATAGCTGATTTCTTCAAATATCAAGAAGTAGCTAAGTTGTTTGAAAAATTACCACAGAATGAACTTCCAGAGGCAAAATTGATCCTAAGAGCTTATTACAGATTCTGCTGCCTAAAACCTCATCTCGAGAATTGGCTTTACTATCCTCCAACGGATTGTGATCATAAGAAACTATACATTGATGATTGTGAGTATGAAGATGTGTTCAGAATTACAGATTCTGAATTGGGTTTCATGTATGATGCACTTTACACTAAGGCACCTGTTATATATACTCGTAAGGGCTTAATTCTTCGTTTCATAAGCTTGCTAAGCCTAATTGCCACACTATGTGGATTTTCTGTCTTGTTCAAGGATGCATTTGTGTATAACATTAGTGTTGGGTTCATCCATTATGTGTTGATAGCATCTTTGATAATTGAGCTTTATCAGATCATGAGAATACCCTTCACAGATTGGGCTATAGTACAGATGATAAGACACCATAAAACTTTTCCTATCCTTCGGGGTCTCTTACACTCTCTTGCCCCACAGTCAGCAACATGGAGAAGATGGTCCAACACAATGGGGCAGTTCAATCTCTTAGATTTCTGCATGCAAACCAAGCATCGAAACTACAGCAGAATCAAACTTCTCCGGACTTGGGGCATGGATATGAAACTCCGAAAGCAAATGAGTTTGGATCGAATCGAAGTCCGTCCAGAAGTGAAAGAACTTGTGGTCACAGAACTAAGAGAGATAGAGAACATCAAAGGACAAGAAGAATTTGAACAAAGAGGCCAATGGACAATCGATAGGTACAAAATAAAGCTGAAACAGAACGATGACAGCAAATTGATCAAAGCACTTGAAACAACAGTAAACAAGAGACCATTTGATAAGAGCATCTTCATATGGCACATCACAACAAATATTTTCTATCACATCAGACGTTTTCATGATACTAGCATAGGTAATAAAATGGAAGCTATAATGAGTATATCAAATTATATGATGTACCTTTTGGTGACTCGTTCCCACGTGCTATCAACAACGACGGGAGAGATTATCTTTGACCATTCGTGCGTGAAGCTTGGGGAGTTCACAAGAACTGGACATCGAAACATAGAGGACGCCTGCAATAAACTTCTGAATTTAGAAAATGAAGGTACCCTTCAAGCAAAGGAGCCTCATGAACCATCAGGGGCAGAGAAGATAGTTGTAGGGAATTGGCATCTGCTAAAGGATGTGAAAGATCTTGCAAATAGCTTATTGCGTCTGAGCAATGAAGACAAATGGAAGCTAATTGGCAGTATGTGGTTTGAGATGTTGGGATATGCTGCAAGTAAATGTGAAATGGAATATCATTCAGAACACATCAGACAAGGCGGGGAATTAATTACTCATGTTTGGCTTTTGATAGCCCATAATGTTACCAAATACAGTTCATATGAGTATCATGTGGGCGGCCAAGATGAAGAGATTGCAGCTAATTCTCGTTAGTTTTTCCACTTCTTTTTCCCTGAGAAACCAATTTGATTGATTGTAAAAGGAAATTTTGGAGGATAACTCCAAGATCTTATCCTGTTCATGCGTTTATTTATTTGATCTAATGATAAAATGAAGTATCACGACATCAGTAATCTCTCATAATTAGGTATGATTTGTACTCGACAAAATACCTGCATCCGCCGATCTATAAATTCGTATAAAAATTCAAAAGCGAAAGCATCAATCTAAGGAGTAGAATGAAGAACAGATTAAATACATATAAAATACAACGCAAAATTTCATTCTGATACGATCGCGAACCAGTATGATAATCGAAATCGAGTTCTAAAAATTTAGTAAGCAAACGCAGCTACAACTCCAGATTTTACGAGCCTAAAACTAAGAAATTGCTTGACCTCAATCAGAGATAAAGAGCTATGGATACTGAATCCTTACGTTGTTAAAGGAAATGGTGAAGGCACGAACCAGATGATTTAGAATAAAGATCGACTTCGGAAGATCAAGGCCTTCATAGGATGGCAACGGAATCCCTCTCCAAGTTACGAATCACTTCCTGCGTAGCACATTAACGGAGCCTCAAAATATAGAATGATTTGATACCAAATTCCTCAAGATTTTCGAGTAAATTATGTGTAACCATGTCGCACGAAATGTAGGAGAGCGAAGAAGAAGGGGATGCACGGGAATACTAGGATACACGAGTGCCGAATCTCAATTTTGAATCCTAAGCATGGGTCATTATGGCTGCATATGAGTGAGGACAAAATATGTTGGAAGAACTCGTGTTGAGTTGTGAGGATAGACTTCTCTTTAAAAAGTGAAAAAATGACCCTGGTTGGATTGTAAGAATAGACTTCACTTTTAAAAGTGAAGAATAAATAATGTGTGACCATGTTGCACGAGATGTAGAAGAGCGAAGAATAATGGGATGTACGGGAAAGCCAAGGCACACGGGTGCCGAATCTCGATTTCGACTTCTGGGTCACATGGGATGCAGGGGAACGCTAGGACACACGGGTGCCGAATCCTGATTTTGAATCTGGGGTCGCATGGGATGCAAGGGAACGCTAGGACACACGGGTGCCGAATCCCAATTTCAAATCCTGGGTCGCATGGGATGTAGGGGAATGCTAGGGCACACGGGTGCCCAATCCCGATTTTGAATCATGGGTCGGATGGGATGCAGGGGAATGCTAGGGCACACGAGTGCCAAATCTCGATTTTGAATCCTGGATCAGATGGGATGCAGGGGAACGCTAGGGCACACGGGTGTCGAATCCCGATTTTGAATCCTGGGTTACATGGGATGCAGGGGAACGCTAGGGCACACGGGTGCCAAATCTCGATTTCGAATCCTGGGTTACATGGGATGTAGGGGAACGCTAGGGCACACGGGTGCCGAATTCCGATTTCGAATCCTGGGTTACATGGGATGCAGGGGAACGCTAGGGCACACGGGTGCCGAATCCCGATTTCGAATCCTGGGTCACATTGGATGCAGATGTTAGGGCACACAAGTGCCGAATCCCGATTTTGAATCTTAGACATGAATTGTTACATTACTCATGAGCGTGGACATGGACCGTTACATTCGATCATTAGAGAATCTTATGAACCGATCACAACAAATAAACTAATTTAAATTCATACTTACAAATTTGATAATATGCGTGCTTTATTTCTTTTCGTTCTTACTAATTGACCTAAAAATAATGGCCAAATTATGAACATGTTCGGATCAAGTTTTGAAAAATGAATGTGCATTTATAATTGAGTAAAAAAGTAACAATAAAAATGAAGAGGTAAAATAAAATTGGTGGAAGAGATAGTTACTATTGAGTAGGGTCTTGGTGAAACATTATGTGAGATCTCACGTTAATTGGAGAGAAGAATGAAACATTTCTTATAAGGGTATGAAGACCTCTCCCTAGTAGATACGTTTTCAAACCGTGAGGTTGACAGCAATTCGTAATGGGTTAAAATGGACAATATCTAGTGCTGGGCTTAAACTGTTTACAAATGGTATTAGAGCAGGTCACTGAACCCAAGAGGGATGGATTGTGAGATTCCGCATCATTCAAAGGAGGAGCAAGAGTGTGAAAATCTTTCTCTAGTAGATGCGTGATAATACGTAACAGCCTAAAACGGATAACTAAAATTTCTTTGAACTCAAATTTTAACCCAAGCTAACCCTTATCGGATGGGTTGGGTCAAACTTTCGGGTCATATGAATAACGTAAATATTTTTTCAAAAAAAAAAAAAAAAAAGAAGAGGGGTAGGATGGTAATTATTGAAGTAAAGAAGGGAGAGAAAAGGAAAAGTGAGGTAAAAAGGACGGCGCAGATCTAGCTAAATTGGTGTTTCTTGGAAAAAGTTCAACGGCTTAAAATGGTTTAAAAAACATTTAATCCCAATCTTTAAATCCCTTCATCCAAACATACTTTTCGAGAATAACAATAAATATAATTAAAATATTTTTTTTTTTGTTGGTATTTTAAATTTTAAATAACCTAATTTTAAAATATATGTCCTCGACAATCTTTCTCTCTAACAAGGTAGAATATAAGACTCAAACTCTAAGGCTTACGGAGCTCTCGAATAGCCTCCCTTAATCGAGGCTCGACTCCTTTCTCTAGAGCCTTCAAACAAAGTACATCATTTGTTCGACACTTTAGTCACTTTTGACTACACCTTCGAAACTCACAATTCTTTGTTCGATATTTGAGGATTCTATTGACAGGACTAAGTTTAGGGCATGACTCTGATACCATGTTAGGAATCACGACTCTTCATAATAATATAATATTGTCCCCTTTAAGTATAAGCTCTCGAGTTGATTGATACAGTTCACAACCCAATTCTCTATTTTTAGTTAATTGTTGATTATTTTTTAAAAAACTATTGTAATAACTAAAAAAGTTTGATAAAATTTGAATATCAAACGACACATCACTAACATTGATTACACTATTAAACATTTTTTATTTTTTTAAAAGCAGAGTGCAATTGGATTATAACTTTATTTTCATGTTGGTCGATCCAACAAAAAAAAAATGTCAACCCACGAACCGAATCAAAATTTTAATTATTTTTTTTTTAAATTAACCCAATTCAAGACCGAAAAATTCTAACCCATAGTCCGAGCACGTTGGATTATCGGGTCTAAATTAAATAATTTATTTAAAAAATAAAATTATTTCAATTTCATTTTATTTCATTCCACCCTTCTTCTTCTTCTTCTTCTAAGCATTCATTGCAAATCTCTTTTACTTTTTCCTTCTTTTTGACAGGACCAGAGAGAAACCCCATTTACAAGAAACTAGAGAGAGAAAAGCCCAAGAACAACCAAGAAATCTAGAGAGAGAATTTAGAGAGAGAATCTAGAGAGAGAGAGACAGACAGACATTGGATATAAAAAAAAAAACACCCAAAAAAACCCCCAATGTTTGTGTTCTCCCCCAAATTTACATTCTATTTTTGAGTGTTTTTCAAAATTTTTTTTTTTTTTTTTAATGTCTCATCTCCTCCTCTTGCGGCGGCGGAGCTGGCGGTGGCGGTGGCGTTGGTGGAATCGCCTCCTTTAAACGGCAGAACCCGGCGGGATCTACGGCGGAACATGAACAAAAGTTCAGCAGCCAGAAATGAGCTTCTGGGTTTGGTTCAAAGCTGGATAACCACTCTTCTTCTGGCTTATCTCCTCCGTGGCTCCTCCGGCGTTTGATCTTTGCACCGCCGTGGCGTGGTGGCAGTTGTGGTGGTGATATTGGCGGACTGGCTCAATCTCTTGTAATTGTTTTTATTTTTAATTTTCCTTTCTCCATTTTTCATTTTCTATTTTCCGTTCATTTCAGGTAACATTTTGTTCTCTTTGTCATTTTTTCTTTTAATTTAATGAAATGGGTTAATATTATTTTACCTTCATTTTTAATTTTCTCCACAAAATTACCATTTTTTTAAATAATTACTTTACCTATTATCCCTATCTTACCCTCTTCCTGAGCAAAACGCTTGAATTTTGCACGGCGGCGGCGGTCGACAGCCGATGGAGACGACGGCGACAGGGCGGCGCTGGAGGTTGAAACGGCGGACTGTTGTATTACCAATTTAAAAATTAAAAAAAAAAATTGTTTTATTTTATTTTTATTTTTTAAAATATTTTAATTTTGATTTATAATTTTAATATTTTGGGCACTGTTCTGTCGCTCTGTCTTTGCAATTAATGTAAGCTCTTGGGAACGGTGGCTATACAGTATGTCAGTAGAAAAAACCCTCTTTTTTATTTATTTATTTATTTTATAATTTTATAATAATTATTATTATTATTTTGAGAAATAAAAAATAGAAATTTGGAAACAACGTAGAGGACGATCACTTGTGGCCCTATCATATCTTTTTATTGCTATTATTTATTTATTTAATTTTGTAATTTTTTATAATTTTTTTTAAGGAATTTAATTATCGAAATTGATGTTAATATAATCTATGTTCATTATTGAAATTGATGCAAATTATGGTATTAATTAATGAAGGGTTTCTAATCCGATTGGATTGAGTTAATAAGTAAAATATTTATTATTTTTTTAATATTAATTTATGATTTGTAATTTAACTCAATGCATTTTTTTTTAAAAATTACATTTTAAATAGTTAAAATTTTATTTTAGTGGCTAAAAATAAATAATCGAAAAAATAATTATGAAATTAACTTTTATTTGAGTTGCGTGACATCCGAGTAAAGGAGGAGTACATGAATGAACTGAGACTACATCTGAATGAGAGTGGTCCTAATGATAGATGACTAAGAAAGACGTAAAGTAAATGAAAGTTACAATTTATACTAATAGAGCGTACCTTGTTTTTCGGTGGCTCAATCATAGAAACTCTAGTAATTTTCTTTGGACTGAAGACACAGTATGCTTAATTAGCGTTTTTAATAACAATTCATTAATTATATTAGGCTAATATGAGCATAGAATTATATTATTGGTACGAAAGGAAAAGATTTAAATTTCTTAACCTCACCGAACGAACAAAAAAAAAACAGACAAAGAGAACATATAAATAAAAAAAAGAAAAAATAACAAGAAAAAGAAATTGAAATCGTCTGGTGTCTGGTTCTAATACCATTCGTAACGGTTTAAGCCTACCACTAGCAAATATTGTCTACTTTTGGTCATTACATATTGCAGTTAGCCTCGTAGTTTTAAAATGCGTCAGTGAGAGGTTTTTACATTCTTATAAGGAATATTAGTTGTCAACTTCTCCCTACCCGATAGCTATATGCAGTAAGCCACTGTTGTTGCGTTTTTGCTTGCATTACCATATAACACCAATTTCAATTTCTCAAATCTTGCTTTCAAAACTCTCTGCCCCTGTTTTCTAAAACTTTCTTCTTGAACCAGGGTCAGAGGCTCGAACATACGTCGCTTGACCATAGGCGACATAATAACGAATAGGCTTAACTCGTTGCTGAATAGTGAGTGTTGCACAATCGCAAGTCCGCTACCATCAAATGGGTATTTTTCCATGGGTTTGTCCTAGATGGTTGTATTGAATGATCATGGTCGTTTACTTTCTATTCATATAATGCATACAGTTTTAGTTGGTTGGGCCGGTTCAACGACCCTATACGAATTAGCAGTTTTTGATCCATCTGATCCAGTTCTTGATATTCAAGATAGAGACAAGATGAGCTCGTTATATCCTTAATCACTCGTTTAGAAATAACTAATTCATGTCGGGTTGGAGTATGAAAGAAGGTTTAGAGTTTGGTTTGGTGGAGATTACATGGGAACATAAGATTTTAGTGAAAATGATGGGTCTTAGGGTTTTGTTATTTTATGTGAATCTATTTTGGAGTTTTTCTTCTCACTTTTATCTAAAATATTTTCTCTAAATTTATTTATTTATTATTATTATTATTATTATTATTTTGTCTCGATCCATCCTTCTATTTTTTATCCTAAATTTGTGTTGACCCTTCTTTTATTTTTTTCTTTTCTTTTGTAAATATCTATTTATACCCGAAACCCTAAAATTTTTGTAAATGAATTATTTTAGATATTTTGTCTGTGATGATGAACACGACTCTCCGTAATAGTATGATATTGTTCACTTTCACTTTGAGCATAAGCTCTCATAAGCTGGGCTTCCCCGCAAGGGCTCATAAAATGGATATAGTATTCCTAGATTATAAACCCATGATCATTCCCTAAATTAGCTGACGAGACTTTTCGTTTTCATCCAACACCTCCCCTTAATCGAGGCTCGACTCCTTTTCTTTTGGAGTCTTAGTCATTTTTTACTATGTCTTCGAGGAGCCTCCTTTTGGAGTCCTTTGTTCGACATTTGAGGATTTTATTGACATAGCTAAGTTTAGGGGCATGACTGTCCTTTTGAAGTCCATGTTAGATGACCGTCCACAATGGTATGATATTGACACTTTGAACATGAGCTCTCATGGTTGAGATAGTATTCCGATATTATAAATCCATGATCATTCCCTAAATTAGCCGACGTGTAATTCTTTCTAAATAAATAGAAAAAATAGAAGACGAAGAACATATGAAAAGTTGCTCAAATTTAATGAACGCTCAGTAAGTATCTATCTAATTATCGCATCTCTCTCTAATTTAGATTAGTTCATACATTTCAACATGTTTAATTTAGATTAGTTCATACATTTCAACATGTTTAAGTCTAACCTATATAAGTTAGTTAGTTATTTGATCCTTAAAATGAAAAATTATATTTTATATACCAAAATTGAAAAATTATGGTGAAATTCATAGAAATAAAGGTGGGAAGTCAACTCTCGACTTTAGAGAAAGTAAATAAAGGTGGGAAGTCAACTCTCGACTTTAAAGATTTGTAACGAGTCTTTTTATTCATTGAACTATGTTTGACTTCTCAAATTTAGGGAGCAAATGACAAAACTAAGCATAATATGTTTTGTTTTTTAATAACCATTACATGTAAATTAAATAATTATAAGATATAGATTTGAAACATTTTTGTAGGTTCTCTCATACATCTTAACAGAAAAAACTGTCAACCTTTGTGACGACAAACCTATTAGAATAAAGCTCGATAATATTTGCGCTTCAGTACCATAGACCAACAATCTCAAGACTGCATTCTACTTTTTTTCTGAGCGTTTAGGAGTGGTTTTTCTCGCTTCTTCAAGCTATTAGTAATCTTACTTTCGAAAGGGAGTCTCCACGTAGCTCTATAGAGGAACTAGTTATTGGCTACGAGAGCGATCTTTCTCCATCCTTCAAGCCATAGGAATCACTCTTTCAATAGTTAGTCTTAGTGCTAAATGGAGCTTGCAACTCGACAATGAAACTAGTCATTGGTTACCGGTTTCCTTCAAGCCATAGGTAATCACTCTTTCAAAAGGTAGTCTAAATGTGCTAAATAAAACCCGCAACTCTACAGTAAAATTAGTCATTGGTTACAAGTTTCTTTCAACCCATAGATACCTTTTCACAAAGTAGTCTTAATGTGCTAAATAGAACTCGTAACTCTACGCAAAACTAGTCATTGGTCGCAGGTTTCCTTCAACATAGGTAATCACTCTTTCAAAAGGTAGTCTTAATGTGCTAAATAGAACTCGCAACTCGACAGTTTCACTAGTCATTAGTTACAAGTTTCCTTCAAGCCATAAGTAACCACTCTTTCAAAAGGTAGTCTTAATGTCTTAAATAGAACTCGTAACTGTCCCGTGAAACTAGTCATTGGTTACAAGTTTCCCTCTAGCCATAGGTAATCACTCTTTCAAAAGGTAGTCTTAATGTGCTAAATAGAACTCGTAACTCTATAGTGAAACTAGTCATTGGTTATAGGTTTCTTTCCTACCGGTCTCGAACAAGTTAGGTCCACAAATAATTTCTCCTCAGATGAGATCTTGTTTTCCTCTAATTCACCCACTGGTAAAGGGAAGAGGAAAGTGTCTTTTTTATGAATTTTCCATGGGAGGTATCTCAGACTAACACAAAGTAAGAAATGAATTTTACTCACCACAGATCTTCAAACCCACAAACATTTCAAATTCCCTAAGCCTTGCAGCAAACCAAATTGTAAGAAAGAAATGGTTCTCAAATCAGCAAATTTTATTCTCAATTGTAGAAATACAAACTGGCTCAATCTACTGGTAAGAAGATCAACATAATTGGCAAAGAAAGATATGACAACAATCTCTATAGGCATCAAATCATATATCAGGCAGCAGCAAAAGCTTCAGATCTAAGCAAATTTAATTCAGTAATACAGATCTATAAACTATAATCACAACAAAAGGATCAAACAGATCATTGAAAATGGTGGACTCACCTGTGTTCTTGATTCGTTTTTCATTGCTGCACATTTTGAACATACCATTTGTAAGTATCCACAAGGCCATCCTTCAGAGAAATCTTTGGATTCCATCCCAATTCAGCAAGCTTGGAACTGTCCATCAATTTCCTTGGAGTTCCATCAGGCTTTGATTTGTCCCAAACAAGATCTCCTTCAAATCCCACCACTTCTTTCACCAATTCAGCTAGCTCTTTGATGCTCACTTCCTTCCCACTCCCAACATTCACATGGCCTAAATCGCTGTATTCCTCCATGAGGAAAGCGACCGCGTCGGCCAAATCATCGACGTGCAGAAACTCCCTGAGGGGGCTTCCACTTCCCCAAACCACCACTTCTTTTGCTCCGTTCACCTTCGCCTCGTGAAATCTCCTCATCAAAGCCGGCAAGACGTGTGAATTCTCCGGGTGGAAATTGTCGTTAGGACCGTATAGATTTGTCGGCATTCCTGAAATCGCATTCCAATTGTGTTGAATTCGATACGCCTGACACATTTTGATTCCGGCGATCTTCGCTACCGCGTACCACTCATTCGTCGGCTCCAGAGGACCGGTCAGCAATGCGTCTTCGGGAATCGGCTGTGGAGCGAATTTCGGATAAATACAGGACGAACCGAGGAACAATAGCTTCTGAACACCATGGCGATAGGCCGAATCGATGACATTAGTCTGGATTTGAAGGTTAATGGCGATGAAATCCGCCGGATAGGTGTTGTTGGCGTGAATGCCGCCGACTTTAGCGGCAGCGAGGATAACGAATCGAGGTTTTTCATTAGCGAAGAACGATTCGACATCGGATTGGCGAGTTAGGTCAAGCTCGGAGTGAGAACGAAGAAGGAGATTCGTGAATCCAAGCTGCTGGAGCTTGCGGACAATGGCGGAACCGACGAGGCCACGGTGACCGGCGACGAAGATCTTCGCCGATTTATCAGAGAGGAACGAGGATCCTGATGAAACTGCAAAATTCAAGGAGAAAAGAGAAATTTCAGAAAGGATTTACAGTAGTGTCTAAGAAACACGAATAAACATCAAGTGAATAGAGAGAGTACCGTTGTCGGCGGCGCCGCCCATCGTCGGACGTGGAGGAGAGAATCGTCGGCGGCCGGGGAGAGGAGGAAGAAAATGTGAGGGCGTACAATAAACGATAGAGTCGCAGATCCAATGTGGTTTTTATTGGGAGTTATCATTTGATTACGCTAGATGCAATCCTGGCCGTTGACTTCAATTTTTTTTTAGATTGTTTAAATTATGTTAAATTAATAAAAATATCCTAATTTTTTTTATTTTGTTTCGAAAATATTATTAATAAAAAAATACTATTATATGATTATTTTTATTAATTTAATCTTTTAAAATTAAAATATTAACTATTTTTATGAATTTTTTTTTATTTTCTTTTAAAGTTTTAAGAGAATTTTTTAAAATTTTTTTTAGTTCAAAGAATATTATCCAAGCTTTTAAAGTTTAGGAATATTTATTTTAGACATTAATTTGAGTTAAAACTTTAATTATTTATTTCGATTAAATTACATTTAAAACGTTTAACTTCATTATACTTAAAATATCATTTTGATCAGATACTTTTTAAATTTAGTTCATATGGGAGGCTGACGAGAGATTTCTCACTATTATGTTGTCGGGTAAATAAATAAATAAATTCAATTTTTTTTAAAAGTATAATATTAAATTTAAATTTTTAGAAATGAGGTTTGAACGTTTATTTTTTTGTTTATGAAATATTATTGGATTTATTAATATTTTAAATTTTTTTTAATAAAAATTATATTGTAACATGGAGATTATCGTTAAAAAGTTTATTTAAAAATAATATTTTTTAAACATTTGGAGCAAATAAATAGACGGGGATGGGAAATGATTGTTCATCCCGCTGCATAGATGTCGAAATTTCATTTTTTTCACGAAATCAATGGTTGGATTTAAATTCCATTTCAGTTCTTCCAAATTCTATTTATGTTTCAAAATAATATATGTTCTTAAAATACTTTCTATAGAAATTATTTTAACTAAAATGATTCGGGATCAATTATTTTATAATTATTTATTTAGAAATTTTTAAAATAATGTTTTTTCAAATGATTCAAACCAATTTTTACGGAGAGTTGATCCGACAATTCTAACATAGAAACCAAGATCCCTCAATTGCTCAATAACGTCAACTTATACTTGTTAATATTTGATTTATTTTGATTATCTTATCTTTATAATTATAGTTGCTTAGATTTGTGATAGTTAGGTATCGAATACTTTCTTTAGTCAACTAGTGCTAATCTTGAAGATCGTAGAGAACGTACAAAGTTGAGATGAAACATCCGAAATTGTTAAATTAGCTGTGTTTAAGAGTCTAAAAGGTCGGGAATCCTATTCGAACTCTTAAAAAATTCTTTAGCAACAGTTTGAAATGTTGACCTATTTGGGAATCTTCGGATCTATGCTTATTTTCAACTCCCAAAGTATTTTGTCACTTACTACGTCCTTTCTCGTCTCTGGGTGCCTAGGTATCCACTATAAGCCTTTCTTCGTTTGAACCTTGCCCTTAACTTTAACGCGATGCCATCCTAAGGTGCTGCTAAATGGAAGGATCTTATCAACGTCCATGAATGATAAATCATACGTCGAACTGCGGAATCGAAAAAAATGAAGCGCTATCATATAGCTTTGTATCGGCTAAGTTCAGGAGTTAGAGATGAGCGGACTCCAACCTTTTTTATTTGACTCTTTCTTCATTTTTCCAACAATTCACCACATTTATTGCGCTAAACAAAATCAAATGTTTTAAAGGAATAAAGGGAAAAGTTATTTAAAAAGAAAAGTTTTGAATGAGGCTTTCAATTCACTCCACCGTGGGTTAATAATAAATAGTATTTAAAGAATTTTTGTTTATTTATTTAATACAATAAATGTGGGAATCCTTTTTAATTTTTTGTTTTTTTTATTTAAGACAATAAATGTGGGAATCGTTTTTAATTTTAATTAGTTTCTTTGTTTTTTCCTAGAAAAACTATTAATTTAATATAACTTTGAATATAGGAAGTTGTATTTAATTTGAAAAATCTTAAACAGATAATAATATCAATTTAAATTATAAAAACTAAATAGATTAATATTTGAAGGCCCATTTTGATTAAATCGTATTTAAATTTAGGCCCAAATATATTTAATTTACAACTATTTTGATAAAATTAAATGTTTAATTCGATTCGAGTCCATATTACAAATTCTCGAAAATAATATTATATTATAAACAAATAAATTTAAATAAGCATTTTGTTTATTATTTTAAGTCTCGAGAAGGTAAAATGGTTCATTAATTAATTATTATATGCCATTTTATTCAAATATTTTTTTGCGCACAATTTTATTTGTGTTAAAACTCTTATTCCAAATTTAAGACCAAAGGTTCGTTACAATTACAACACAGCCATTGCGCTAGTAAAAATCATTCCAATCACCACAACCCACTAAATGCGGTGACATAACGCCCAGCACAGACAGAAATTGCAATTGCTTATTAAAAACAAACAGGAAAAAACCTAGCTGTGACTCAGTCACATCACTGCCCTGTAACGCTAGAATCATAGACATAGGAGAGATGTATGAAAAGATTTCTAGCTCTACAACATTCTTCCTAGGCGGACGGCATACGGCAGAGCACCGCCTCTTCCTCCACCGCATCGGCGGCTTCCTTCCAGCACTGTATCAGCGGCGCCTTGCACGGTTGGGACTCGGCGGGCCTTCTGTCCACGGTATACGTACGGTAAACTAGCCACTCGCCACCTGGCAGCTCCTGCTTCACCACGTTGTCACACGTGTACCCCTCTAGTGCATCACAATCAACAGCCCGCATTAGGGAGCTACTGCCGCACGTGGCGGCAATTGAGAATTCCGCCGGAGAAAAGCATCGGAGCGCCCGGTTCGCCAGCTGGGAGAACGGCAGCTCCGTTGTGTCAAAGCCCATAGCCTCGTAGCTGGCGTAGCTGAAACCATCCTCTGGAGTCACGTGCACCGTAGAGTACGCTGCACCTTCAATCCCGTTCATCGAGTATCCACACGGATCGAATTCAAAGTCGCAGATGGTGTGATTCGGAATTATCTCAGAGATTCCGGACATTTTCGTCATTTTATCCGCCGATGAGTCGGCTCCAGATTTTTTACAAAACACCGCGGCCTTCTCTTTGTTCAAGCCCGTCATACAAATCTCCAGAGTAACCAGATCCGTACGAGTACGGTTCATATACGAATGCGATTTCACGGCCGAGTAGATATGCCAGTTGCGATTTGGAACGGCCGGATCGCCGATCACGTAAGCCTCTGAGTGGAAATGACCAAAGTAGACATTCAGTGCGGTAACTTCCTCGGAGAAGCTCCGGTGAGGAGCAGGTTGATAGTCGGGGAAGATGAAGGTTCCACGGGAGTATTTCACGGCGACGGCGGCGAGTGAGAGCGAATCAGCGAGTTGGAGAATCATCGGAATGGAGAGGAGAAGCTTGGTGGTGCCGCAAGTTTTGAGAATGATTGTTCGTGGATAAACGAAGAGGCTCGATTCGGAGAGGACGTAAGAATCAAATTCGGAGTTGGAGAGCTGGTATACGATAGTGCAGCAAGCAGGTTCGAGGATTAAATCGAGTTGAGTTCGAGTCAAGGCTCGGAGACCGAGTCCTTCAGGATCCTGGAAGATAGGCGGCTCGGAGAATGTAATTTCTAGACGTTTTTCGAAGCCTTCGAAACCGATTGGAGATGGAGGTTGTTCCGGTGCCGGATGCACCGATGCGTCTGTCAGTTTGGTGAACACAGTCATGGTTGAACACAATCGAAGTACCTCACAACAACAGGAAAATCAACAAAAGCAAACGAAAGAAACTTGGAACGTTTCTGTTCTCAGATTGAACAAGAAATTGGCCCTAATTAAGATCACTAAAGCAAAATCGAAATCGGAAGTTGTAATCTACAGAGACACCTCCTTTTTTGGTGCACAAAGGTATCAAGATGGCTTCCTCATGCACTGCCAGAAGAAAAAATCAACGAAAACGCCATTACAACACAAAAATTCACAGTCACTCAAGAACTCGAAGAAGAGATCGAACAACAATCTTACGTTGGAATACGCAGCAGATCGGAACTTTTGAATACCACCGTGAGGACGAACGTCTTCAATAATGTAACCAAGAGGAGCTTCGTATTGTTGCCTTTTACTACTCTTGCTACCACTACTGCTGCTAGACTTTTTCTTACCGCCTTTCGCTTCCATTACAACATCCACGCTTCTTCTCTGCAACGAAAACAGAAAAACAGAGATCGAGACAACCAGATTCACAAATCAGAGATTAATCAACATTCTCATACACACCAAAATACATCAGTTCAAAAATACCTTTCCAGGATGAAAAGAAGCGGAAAAGAGAATCGAAATCAAACACCGGAACTAAAAAATAATCCTAATCTCAAGTACTTACGAAATCCTCGTCAATGGCGGAATAAATATAGAGAAACACCAGGAATTCCTTGGCAAATTTCCAAACAAAGAAAGATAATCAGTAGAGCAAAGGATTCATGGCTCAGGAACGAGAGATGCAGAAGGCAAGGAGGCTTTGAGCTTTGTGAGGAGGAGATGAAGTTAGAGAGAGGCTATTTATAGCGCCGATGAGGAAGGCGCCCCTAACATTTGTGACGGCGCTACTTGTGAGTGCCCGTATCCGGTAATTTGGGATAGTGGAGGGGTCTTTTTGCAAAATATTCGTCCCACGTGTGGTGTCCACGTGGCAGTGAGGCTAGGAGGTAGAACTTGGCACGTCGAGATTTGCTTGGCCTAAAATCAACCAGAGAAGGGGAAGAAATCTGTAGTTTTCTCTTTTGCATATATACCCCTTTTCAAATTTTATTTCTCAAAATTACCCCAAATAATATACAAATTTTTATTATTTGCACCATTAAACCATATTTAAATTGATGGATAATTTAACTATTCTCTCACCAAAATATGACCGATTAAAATATCTATTTTCATAAATCCAACTTAACACGAAAAATTTTAAAAATATATATATGAGACCAGTCGAAAAGAAAACCATGCATGTTATAGACTGATGATCGTCGAATCCATGCATTTTTAATTGTTTATTCTGTTAGACAATGAAGGCATGTGAGGCCTTCTGATGAAGCACAAAGTAAAGCCATGAGAGTTTATGTTCAAAGTGGACACTATCATACTATTGTGGAGAGTTGTTTGTCTAACGTATTCTACCACCACTTTAAGAAGATATTTATGGAACATAATTTTTCAAAATATATGTTTAAATTAAATTGTAAATTCTAATTATACATCAAAAAATAAATAAATATATTTTTTACTAATTAAGATGGAGCTACTAACTCATTCTTGAAAATAAAAAAAAATATAACTAATTAAATAAAATATAAATGATTTAAAATATATTTTATAATTAATTATTATACCACAAAATATATTATCCAAATATTATATAAAAAATGTTTCGACCCAATTCAATGAACAAAAAGCAAAATTGCATGGATAGAAATGGACTTCGGGAATTGGGACGATTTCTTTCCTTTTAAAAAAAAATAATAAAAATTAAAAGGTCTTCGACGACATGTCGACAACAGGCACTTAATCCATCCTTTCCGTTTGTTCCGTTTCCTGTACGTTACACGCACGTGGAATCGACGTCCCCAGCCTTCCAATGGCACGTGCCTCCCATGCAACGCGTGCCCTAAACTAAATACCAACCAAACAGTTTTTAATTGCAAATTTGTTGAAGAGGATCAAATAATTTATTTTTAAAATTATAATTCTCGAAATTATTAAATTTTCGATTAAAAAATATTTATTTAAATTATTGTTTGTACCAATACAAAATAAAACGATAATTATATTAAATACTTTTAATTTTTTTTTAAATGTTAAACAAAATAATTCACATATTTTAAAAGTAATGTTTAATTAAAAAAAAAACTAAAAATATTATTTAATGTTTAATACTCTTTTTTTTTTCTTTTTTTTTTCTTTTTGCACTTTGGCCTTATTACATGAATGTTTGGGTTGGGCGCCTCGTAGCCCCAAAATACGCCGAAAGTTGAGGGATATTAACGTAATATTACATAAAATAGAGGGCACTTTTTTTATTAAAATGTAAGAAAATATTTATTATAAAGAAAATTTTAATTTTAATTCTAAATTTTAAGTTTAATTCATACAAAATTTAACCATATTTAATAAATCTTAAGTTAGTTTTTATTATTATTTTAAAATAAATTATAAAATTTTATTGGAATAAAAAATGGTAGTAACGGTAAAACTGAGACCACAACTAAACAAAAATTTAACCAATTTTTCTCGTGATAGTTTTAAAATATTTATGAAAAAATAAAAAATAATATTATAACGAGTCAAGATTTTAATGAATTTCTATCTCGTGATCCATCAAATAGTCAAAGTCAACTTAGACAAGATTCGAATAGATTTGACCTATACTATATTTTTTTATATAAAAGACAGAAATGACAAACATAGTTTAAAATTCTATAACAAAATAATTTAAAATTTTTGTCTTGTTTTTAAAATTATGTTATTTGGTAGTAATTTAATATTGGAAATTAATGGCATCCTCTTGGGCAAATACTCAGCACCCACTGGGCAATTTAATTATTAGGATGAGATTTTAAGATAGGAATCTATTCTATTGGTATTATTTTGTTTATTAAATTTGTCTCTTATTTTCTTTGTTCTTATCTTATATTTGATAAATCTATAATTTTTAAATTAATTTTGAAATTTAATATTTACACAATTTAACTGGGGTGAAAGTCGGGAATGATTCTAGGTTTATAATCAAGGAATACTCTCTCCATCCGTATGAGGCTCTTTGGGAAGCCCAAAACAAAGTTACAAGAGCTTACGCTCAAAGTAGACAATATCATACCATTGTGGAGAGTCGTGTTCATCTAATATGGTATCAGAGTCATGCACTAAACTTAGCCATAGGATCCTCAAATTTAAAAAGGAGTCAAAGCTCCTTGAAGACGTAGTAAAAAATGACTAAGACTCCAAAAAGAAAAGGAGTCGAGCCTCGTTTAAAGGGGAGGTGTACTTTGTTCGTCGAGACAAGTAAATAACCAGTTTCATTCTTTTTTTTTTTTTTTTGCGAGGATTGGGTTACCCAAAGGTAATTTTTATTTATTTATTTTTAATAGTTATTTTAAAATATGTATTGAAAATATATTTAGACTAAATGGGACAGGGACAAAGAATATAATCTCGTCCCCAGTCTATTTATCTAATTGGAAAAAATTGTACCTCACTCCCTCTCATTTTCCGTCTAAACCGTAAATTTTCTCTCCATTTAGGGCGAGTCTCCACTAGTAAAATAGATATTTTGCATCACTAAATTAGAATTTTATTAAACTAATGAAAATATAAATAAATAAATATATTAAATAAAAAATTAACATAAAATAATATTATTATTATTATTAAAAAAGAAAAAAAGCTAGTTTCAAAATTAATTTGACAATAAAAAATATTTTTAGTAATATAATTTATTCAATCATTAAATAATCAAAGTGTAAAATTCACATCTTAACCCACAATCTTATATTCTCAAGAAACTATTTAAACAATTTTTTAATACCATTATTTTCATAGTTGACATTCGTATTTATAATATAATATTTTTCATTTTCATTCACTAACTATATAAAATTTAAGAGATATTATAATTATAATTACCATTGGCTTTTTAATATATTAATTTAATTTCTTTTAATGAAAATGGTAAATTTTTAATTACAATAATCAACCAATAAAAAATAGACATTAAAAATTTTCCAAAGTTAAAATATTTAATAATATCTGAAGTAAGTAAAAAGTTATTTGTTATTATCTATTTAATTCTCACTTTTTTTTTCTCTAATTTACATTAATTATTGTATTTAAATAAGTTTTATACATATCTAAAAATAATGTATTTACCGTTTTGAAATAAAAGTCTAGATACAGCTATTCGTTTGAGGTTAAGTTTACGTGAACGTAAAAAAAAAAAGGACAAAATGACAATTGACGATTTTTTTAAGAGGATAGTTTTTTGTAGGTTTGGGTCTCGAGATTTCTTGAAGATGTACCCTAGACAACTCCTCCATGTTGTAACTGTGGAGGTAAGGCTGTCATCGCTCGGTAAAAGTAGAAGCGGAGTCATCGAAGCTTATATGTGTTGAATGTGTTATTGAAAGGACTGAAGAGGCTTGTTGTGGTCTTTATTGACCTGGGCTCCGAATGGTTTTTTGTAGGTTTGGGTCTCGGAATTTCTTGAAGATGCACTCTAGACAACTCCTCCATGTTGTGACTGTGGAGGTAAGGCTGTCATTGCTCGATAAAAGCAGAAGTGGAATTATCGAAGCTTATATGTGTTGAGTGTATCGTTGAAAGGAGTCGAGAGGCTTGTTGTGGCCTTTATTGACCTGACCTCCGACACGGCTGATAGATACGCCAGTGTTAATAGCAAGTCTAATTTTGCAATAAAAAAAATTATAATTATATAAATATAATTACACGGAAAACCCAATCCATACTTGGATGAGGACATATTGGACATGCAATAATATAAGAATTATTAGATTTGGGAAATTATTAAAATCCAACATATCAACATAAAGTGACAAATTTAAATTTAATATACACTTTATTGTAAAGGAAATAATTGAATATCATCCTGCTTGATTTTAGTGACTTTTAAAAAAGATTATAAATAGTTATTTTAATTATATAAAAAAAAAACTTATATTTTGAACTAAATAAAAATTTAGAAACTAAAATAAAACATTATAAAATTTGAGAGAAAAAATAAAATAATTATTAAATTTTTCGTCATTATAAATAGATACCACAGATAGATAAGTTCATTGTGAGATCCTCGATTTGTGAGGGGAACATAACATTCCTTATCGTGAGGCTGTGGCCATGGGAGGTACCTGTCCCTATCAGACGCGTTTTAAAATCGTGAGGTTGACGACGATACGTAACAAACCAAAGTGGACAATATCTGACATCTGCTAGTGGTGGGCTTGAGTTGTTACGTCAATAAAGTTCCGCTATTGATTATACATGGTCGTAAGACCTTAGGTTTTATATCTGTAAGGTACAAGCATCAAATCTGAGTTATACGAGATACCACCATTATATCATTCAATTTAATGTATTTTTGTTTTTTTTACTGCGAACAATGAACCGATATCAACTCGAAAGTCAAATCTTTCGTTCACTGTTTAGACTTCTAAAAGTAGATTAAGTTCGGTTGTTTTGAACGATTTTTTTTATCTCGTTCCAAAACAAGTGGTTAAAATATGCAGATATGTATACTTTCACTCGCTCGGTTCGCTTGTGTTTATATTTACGTCCAAGCCAAAATGACATGGTCTCGGGACTCCTGCTTTAAATTTGAAACTCGATTTCTCTAGTACACATTTTTCTCTACCCTTTACTTCGGGCTTATTTTTAAAAGCACTTCGATCACGCTTTTGGTATGGATTATACTTTTTTTACAACCATGGGAATGATGATTTATTCTTGATGAGAGGTCGAGCCAATATGACCTACTCGAACAATTGTCCTACTTGATCAAATTGATTAGCTTCGATACTGTAACGGCCTAAGCTCACCGCTAGCAGATATTGTCTTCAACCACTCTTATAAAGAATGTTTTGTTCTCCTCCCTAATCGACGTGGGATCTCACAATCAAACCCCTTTTAGGGCACAACGTTCTCACTGACACTCGTTTCCTTCTCCAATCGATGTGGAACCCCCCAAATCCACCCCCTTTGGAATCCAGCGTCCTCGCTAGCACTCGTTCCCTTATCCAATCGATGTGGGACCCCCAATCCACCTTCCTTCGGGAACCAACGTCCTTGCTGGCACATCACCTCATGTCCACCCCCTTCGGGGCACAACCTCCTCACTGGCACATTGTTCGGGGTCTGACTCTAATACCATTTGTAATGGTTTAAGCCCACCACTAACAGATATTGTCCTATCTGGACTTTCCTTTTCGAGCTTTCATTCAAGGTTTTAAAGCGCGTATGCTAGAGAAAGATTTCCACCCAACCGAGGTGGAATCTCAGATATATCCCGTAATTCGGGTTGCTTATTTGTGCAACTAAAAAAAAATTGAAGTTAGCAGAAACACACAACCGGTCGATCCGGTAATTTCACCTTGATGACTATGAAAGTATAAGGGATTTTAAAATTTGGATTTACAATTTTCCCAAAGAGACCCAATTACGCTACAAGTCTACCGTCTTACGACCTGCAACTTTTTTGCTTCAGAATGGACAAAACATCCGTTTCCATGGATTCCCGTCTCTGAGCTTCGATTCTCTCTCTCTCTCTCTCGCTCTCATGGCCAACCAACCATCTTCTTATCCAATTCTCTGCGCCTCCTTCAATCAGGACGCTAGGTATGTTCCTCCTTCTCTTTCTGTGTGTATCCATGGGGTCTGATCATTCTTTTTAGTTTAGGATCGTTCTCTGATTGTAACTACTGCGAAACGAATTTGATCGAATTATATGTAATCTGGAGGCGTGATTACTGGTGAAGCATATGGAGAGTAGTGCTTTTATGTTAGTTAGATAATTCTGTTTGTCTAGAGTTTTGTGAATTATCTGGTGATGTAGGTGTGGATTTTGTATTATTGGAGCCTTTGAATTTGTTTGAACTTGTATGAGTAGGTTGGTTTTGAGTGACGTTTAATTTAGTGTGTGGGGAAGATTTTCAAAGAGGTTTTAGGGACGTGGTTAACTGAATTTATGCTAATGTGAAGAGTTTGAGCATGGGCGAATTTTTTCGTTCATAATTATTCATCTTGTTTCAAGTATCTGTCGAACACTTCAAAAAAAGTTGTAGAGTTAGAGCTTAAGCCTTGAAAGAGAAAGCTGCAACTTAGCATCAAGTGCTCCAACTTACCTATGAAAGTCCCTAGGAAGAATCTACTTGATTCACAAGATGCATGAGAAAATGTTGGCGGAGGCTATATAGAACTAGAAAAATGAAGTGGTCTTAAACAAGCCTAAGTGAAGTTCTACAACATATTAGTGAGAAAGATCCAAAGGCTTTCATCTAAGCCATCCAATTATTGTCAATGCAAAATTTGACAAAAATTCTGTTACATCTACTACCCAAACAAGTATGATAAACTTTGTTGGCTTCTTTTAAAGATATCTATCGAGTTAAGAAAGTTTCCTCTAAAATTAAGTGGAGATTGTCAAGTGTTGTACGAGGAGGAGTTTGAATCAAATTCGCACACACACATATCTATGAGTGTCATTTTTTTGACCCTACTATATTTGGGTATCAAGAAAAATCTTTGGATATTTGATTGAAGATAGGTGTTCACCAAGTTTGAACTCATTCTCTTTTAAGCCCTTCACATTTTTTATTGGCCCAAATAGTCAATAGGTCAAACCATGGGGTTAAATAATTTCAAATCATGGTACATAGTTATGATGCAAATCATACTTCCATTCCTTTCATTACATATGTATGCGTACTCCTTGGGCCTGACTACGGGCTAGTGCACGCTCACGTTGTCAGAAGCCACGTAGGGTAAGGAGCACGTATCATATCATGGTGTACGCATTCCTACTAATCATGCTGGGAAGTATTCCAATGCTTGTGACATACAACATGCATGAGGTCTCATAGTTTCAGGTCATGACAAATAGTAGAGGAAAGGGGAGGAAATGGGGGAGAAGTGGAGGAAATAGGGAAATTGAGGTGTATATGTGTGTGTGTGTTTATATATATATATATATATATATTTTTCATTGGACTATAACAAGTTATTGGCATACTTTGCAAGCTCTTATTAATTAAAAAAAAACAAATAGTCAACTAAACAACATTTTCAATCAATGTTATAGTTAGAGAGATAAATATCATGAAAAGGACTGTTGAGGTTGAGATCACGGTAAAAGGTTACGATCCTAGTGATTTAGAGGTTGAGATAGAGAGAATTTTGGCTAGGCAGTTTTCTCTTATAGCTCATCTTGTAAAGGCATAATCATTCAAGGCCATATGAGACTAAATGATGATAGAAGGTATGATAAAAATCATGTTGAATATTATAATTGCCATAAATTTTGCCATATTCTTGGAAGGCAAGATTAAAATTAAAGAAAATGTTAGTTATGTTGAGGCAGTAAGAACGCCCAGTCTACTTTTCTTTTGGCATGGAAAGTTAGAGTGACATGTGAGAACATTTATGATACTTTGATAGTATTGCATGCAATAATAGGTAAGCAAGCAAATCACTATTCATTTAACTTGATAAATCTATTGGTAGATATCATGTCTGGCAACTTTTCTGTCCTTATTAAAGTAAGACTGAGAAGTAAGATCCTTGTTTCTAGAGGCCTTAGAAAATATGATCCGTTATCGCCTTTTCTCTTTATTTTAGAGGTGGATATTCATAGCTTATTGGTTTCTACTGGAGTGGAGAAAGGGAGTATTGAGACATCTTCTATTTGCAAATGATTTTTGTTCTAAGATGGAAAGATTCTTTGTTAATCAGAACAGCTTGTTGTCCTTTGAATCCATGTCGACTTCAGAATAACAGAGGAAAAGGTTTCAATTATCGGTATTAATTGCAATTCCTCCAAACGGAATATTTTGGAAAATGTTGGTGACAGAAAATAATATTGTTGATTTGTTTAGGGAACTAGCTGAACTGATGTACATCTCAACTGTTTCAACAGAGTTAAGTCAAGATCGTGAAAAATGAAGATTTGCCTTTTAATATGCTAATATGGAGAAACATTATATAGAATATACTTAAGAGGGGCGATGAGAAAGTAAGGGGCATGAATTTGTTTCTTTTATACAAGGAAGATATGATTACCAAACAACAAAGAGATGAATACGAGTGCTATAAATGCATTACGATATATGAGGGACACAAGATTCCCTCAACAGAGTGTAGATATAAAACCAATTTGAAGACGTGTATCCTCATTAAGCCAAGTCCATGCATTCCGCAAATATAGAGGCTTACCTTCTTATAAAAAAAAAAATGGTTTATCTTAAGATGCATTCTACACTATGTATGAATTTTGGATTCATGTACTTTGAGTTTTATTGTGAATAATATAGTGATACACGTATTTATGGTTCAAAATCATAGCATTTGATATATTATAGGAGTCCAGATTTTCTTTGAAGTCGGTTAGGAATACTATTAGGATATTAAAGGTATATTAGTAATTAGTTATGGAGGTAGTTATGGGTTTGGTTATAAATTGAGAGTGAGGAAGGTGAGAGTTAAGCATTTGGTGAGTGAATTATTAGGGCTTCGGAGAGATCTCAAGAGGGAGGGTGCAAGTATCTTGAATTACTTGGTTATTTTGTAATTTCTTCATTGACATTGCAATACAGTTATCTTTGGTGTTTTATTATATTTTCTGTGTTCGGGATTTCTAACACAGTCCTACAAATATGTTGGTCTATGTTTAGTTGAAGCAAGTATGTGACGTATGTGAAGAAGAAAACGGGGAAAGTTGAAAGTTGAGAGAATTGGTGAACCAAGTCTTTGTTAAGTACAGAGTTCAACACCTAGTGACATTGTTTTTTCTCACTTATACCTATCTCGGCCTTTTGGCTAAAGATCAATCATGTGACATTGTTTTTATTCGGTTTTTTTTTTTTTTTTTTTTTTTTTTTT